TGGTGGTGGCGGCGGCAATGACGGTGGCGGTGGTGGTGGTGGTAGCCGTGCTATGCCAGCACCAAGACATGCCGCAGCTGCAGCGCCAAACATGACGTCGCCTGCCCAGCGGGCGCCGCTGCAGGCCCGCGCCCACCTGAAAGTGCACCTCGGCGCCCGCCCACAGCGCCACCAGGCCAGGCAGGCCGTGGCCGCAGCCCTGCAGGGGCGGGCCGGCGCAGCAGGCGGCGTGTACATGCCTGGCGTGTGCAAGCTAATGCAGGGCAGCCAGCCCGGTTTGCCGCCCGGCTGACACACAGCCTGGTTGCGCCTTGCAGCTCGCAGCACCGCACCAGCCACTCACCAGCTCCATCACCCTGCTCTCCGCGCTCAGCTGCACCGGCGGCGGCCCCGCCGCGCCCTCCTGCTGCCGCTCCTCCTGCGGCCCTTGCCCAGCAGGCTCATCCTCCACTTGCGGCGGCGGTGGCGGCTGCCGCTCCTGCTGCTGCTGCCCCTCCTCCTGCTGCTGCTGCTGCTGCAGCAGGGCGGCCGCCAGGAGCTGCGCCAGGTCCACCCCGCCCTCCCACGACTTGAAACCCCCTTCGTACACCCCCTCAATCAGATCATTCTCCTCCAATCGGTCGTCCGCCAGCAGCGAGGCGGCCTGCGCGTTGCTCACCACGCCCTGCACGAGGCGGGTGCGGCCCAGGCGGCAGCGCCAGTGAGCGGCAGGGTGGGCAAGGCGGCCTCGAGGGGGGAGCTAGACTGAGGGCAACGGAGGCCCGCGGGGTGCCGCCACGCTTGCCTTGAAGAGCGACAGCTGCGGCGAGACGGCCAGCGTCTCCAGGGCACCCGTGGGCTTGGCCTGCACGTGGCGACACGCAGGGCAAGACCCGTTCCGGGTTCACAGCAGCGTGGCGGCGGCGGCGATGGCGGCGGCGTGGCGCCGCCACCCTCCGCGAGTGCCTCGCATCACACTCGACCTCATCCCACCTCGCTGGCAAGCACCTCCTCTGCCCCAATCGCGTCTTCTCCAGCCCCTGCGCCCGCCTCATCTACTGCAAGTGGCGCGTCACCTGCTTGCTGGACGGCAGGGTCAGCGAAGCCAAAGCGGAACATGGCGGATGCAGGGCATATGGCACACCCTCAATTATTAGGCCTTTGTGCGAAGCCCGTGCTGCGCTGGGCACAGCACGGAGGGACCCCACATCCGCTTTTTCGCCGCATAAATTCGCTACGGTGCATTCCGGGGACTCTGATATGGACGCCTGACGCTGCTGTAGGCGTGCACGATCGGTAAATGCCCTGGGCGCGGCGGGAAGGCGGGGCACATGCTGGCCCGGGCGTGGCGGCAGTGGCAGGACCCAGACCCTTCAAAACTGCTCTGTGCTGCAGTTCACGTTACATCAACCATGTATAATCATCGAGGATGAGGTGATTAGACAATAGCAACTGCCCTGATAAAGCTGAGTTCCGCAAGTTTCTCCCCCGCCGATTCCGCCCGCTCCCCTGCCGCAAGCTCGTCACGCCTTCTCCGCACCCTCCACCACCGGTGCCAGCCCGCTGCCGGCCCTGGCGCCCAGGAAGGTGGAGGCGTGGCGACTGGCCCGGCGGCTCAGCCGGCCCGAGTTCAGCGCGGCGTGCAGCTCCAGAGAATCCTGGCGGTGCATGCCCTGGTCGATGTCGCTAGGCATCTCTGCAGGGCGACGCAAGGCAGGGGGACAGGGCAGGCAGCCAGGCAGAGCTTCAGGGACCGAAATGCCAGGGACCCCGGCTGGCTGGTGCATTTGACGTTTCGGGAGGTTGAGGGGGTACTGCAGGCAAAGAGGGAGGCCGGCGGGCAGGCCGGCCAGCAGGCCTTCCACCCAAGTAGGCCTTGCTCACTCCTGACGAAAGACCGGGAGAAGGCGAGGCCGCCGCGGTTATCGGCAGCAAGCGCCAGCGCCTCGGGGTCGATGGTGTTGTGGGTGACCTGCAGGCAGAGCATGGGAGGCAGGATCAGAGCCGGCTGCTGCGGTGGCGCTGGCGTCCAGGGGCTGTGCCGCGCAGCCGGCTGGCGGCACACGTCCCACATCGCCGCTCACATTCTTGTAGCGGAAGCGGCGCGCCACGAAGATGTAGACGACGAATGTCAGGAGCTGTAAGGCAGGCAAGGCAGCAGGGGAGCGGTTTTGGGGTCGCGGCGGGCTCAGCTGTTCATGCACCCCAGGGCTGGCCCCAGTCACCGGCCCTCTTCTGGAAAGCGCACCATGAGCACGCTCATCATCCAGAAGAAGTAATCCAGGTGGCCATCTGCAAGCACACAGGGGAGCAGGGAGGCAACAAGGCATGGCCTTGGTGAGGCAACCCAGGAGTGCAAGAGCAGGCGCGGCTGCGACACAAGCCCATGCCGCCATCCCCGCTACGCCGCCGAGCTCACCGTTCACGTGTTGGAAACCCAGGAGTCGTTGCTGATTGCCTGCACGATGATGACCAGCAGGGAGGCCAGGTAGCTGCCTGCAGGCGGGGAAGCAGGGGGTCGGCGGCACACAGTGCGGCGGCGGGGCGAGTGTTAGCGCTGACGCCGAGCAGGATCGCGGTTCTGAACCGAGTGTGGCAGATGCTGTTAATGTGCGATGGGTCGCAGGTGGTAAAGACGTGGTGCGTTGGCTGGGGGGATGCACGTAAAACACGGTGTGCTGTGCAGGGGCAGGCTGGTAAGGAAAGAGCGCTGCCGCGGCGGCCCTCACCCAATGCGGTGGCCACCAGCTGCAGGGCAGAGCAGGTGGAGCGCATGGCATCTGGGGCCTGGCTGTAGAACAGCTCCAGGCTTCCAATCATGGCAAACACCTCGGAGCAGCCTGCGGAGCGGCAGCAGCAGCAAGGCGGCAGCGTCAGGTGCAGTTGGGGGCGGCAGCAGCGGCACGTAAAAGCCAGAGCGGGCCGACGGCGGCGTCAGCGGCCAAGCGACACTGGCAGCTCTGCCAGGCTGGCTCACCAATCAGGAAGTACTGAGGGATCTGAAGAGAGGAGAGAGCAAGGGCGCAGCAAGGCGCAGCTCAGGTTAGCCTGGGACGTTATGGTTCAGTTGCCCCCGCCTGCCCACCCGGCCCCACTACACTGCCTGCCCACCCCTGGCTGCCCCAGGCCGCACCTGCCACCACACGCTCATGGGCACCACAGGGGCGCCAGCGACGGTGGGGTTGTCGTCTTGCAGGCCATTGCTGTTGACAACATTCAGGCGGATGATCTCAACCACTGCGGCAGGGTTTGGAAGGAAGTTGTTTTAGGGCGCGCTCCCGCAACACGCACACGCATGCGTGCACACAACAGAAGAGCGCACCCACCGGCCGCGGCGATCATCGCCAGCATGGCGACGAGGTAGCCGATGCCGATGCGCACGAGGAGGGAGATGGGGCGGCCGCGGCGGGCAAAGAAGGGCGCAATCACCATGTCGTACAGCGGCACCCAGATCAGCACGGAGATGGAGTCCAAGACTGCAGGCAAGCAGGCAGGCAGGTGAGGCAGGCAGGTGAGGCAGGCAGGTGAGGCAGGCAGGTGAGGGGGCAAAGAAGGGAGGTCATGACAGGCCGCCTCTGCATCTGAATGCTGCCAGGCCATGCCCTGAGCCCGAGAGGAAGGACGGAGTGGCGAAAAGCAGCGGCTGGTGCACACCTGACACTGTGGCGGGCGCCACATTCAGGCTGCCCAGCTGCGTGTCCATGCCCTCGCCTTGCAGGATGAACAGGGTCGTCATCTGCGTGGCAGCGCTCCAACAAAGGTAGGGGGGTCCGATTGGGGCCACAGCGCAACAGGGGCTGCGACGCCACTCCTGCCTCGCCCTGCCCATCCTGCTCTCCCAACACACACAACACTCACGAACACGTGTACGCACACCCACAAATCACTGCGCGCGAACACACACCTGTGCGTAAACTGCGTTGTACACGATCAGCGTGAGCATCACGGGCAGCAGGCGCACCACCGCCTTCAGCTCCTCCACCTCCGTCAGAGTGACCAGCCAGCGGTCTGCCACGCCGGGCGCCTTGGCACGCGTGCACGCCTTCTCCAGCCACTTGCAGCTGGGGGTCCTGCGGGGTAGGGTTGTGGCGCGGGGGCGAATAAAAATCAGCAGCGTGGCGGCAGGAGAGGCCGACAGCGCGGTTTCACTCAGCTGCTTGTGCCACCATCACCAGCACCTCCCGCAGACCAGCCTTGCCTGTCGATTTTGACCTGGCCGGGCACGATGCTCATGTGGCCCTCCACCTCGTGCAGCTTGCTGGCATCCTCGGGCACCTGGGCCTTGCGGTGCGCCATCGCCCCAGCCACCACCTTGGCCATCCGCGTGAAAGGGGAGCCCGCAGGAGGCATGCGCCTGCAGCCAAGCACGGGCCGCGAGGCGCTAGGCCAGGCGGGGTGTGAAGGGTGCTGCCAGGCGCGCGCAGCAGGGCGACGCTTCAGGAGGCGGCAACACGCGTAATGGCGGGCTGCCTCACCTGTACAGCTTGCTACCCGCAGTAAACACAACAATGGCAATCTGCAGGCAGCGGGAAGGCAACACGGTCGGGACCAGCATGAGGAGGGGGCCCATGGCACACGTGCAGGAGCAAAGTCCCTTCAAGCTGCACTGCAACAGCTGACAGAGGGCCGCCTTGCAGCGCCCAGCCGTGGGCGCGCTGCATGCATCCCAGCTGGCTGGAGCTGGCGCTGGACGGCTGCTGGCCTCACCGCAAAGGCCACTGTAGGGATCAGGAAGCCCTCAAACCAGCCCACGTCGGTCTGGACATTCACCACCACTGCGGCAGGGTCCCGCCGGCGCTCAGGGCAGAGGTGTGTTCAGCATGGGCAGCCGGCCCCAGGCTGCTGCAGCCAGCAATCAGCTGCTGCTACCAGCCGCCCACCCACCTGTGGCCGAAAGCATCGCTCCACAGTTGATAGCAAAGTAGAACCTGCACAGAGGCAAGGAGGCAGGCATGGTGGTTGGATGGACGCGAAGGAGGGGCGTCCGGCACATGCACTGGCCCAGAGGCAGCCAAGCAGCCAGACAGCCGGCGGCAGCGCACCAGTTGAAGAATCTTGGGATGAGGCGCGCTTCGCATGGCCTGAGCTCGTCAAACTGGTCTGCAAGGACCATTTTGGAAGCGCGGGGGCCCTCAAAACCGCTGGCACCGGTAGGGGCGCAGCACACGCAGCAGACGACGCCTGGGGAGCCATGTTCACCCCCAGCCTCCTGTCTGCCATCCAAAGCGGATGCCCGCATTGCTTTATGCGATTAGAAACTGCTGGGCAGCACTTTCTCGCAACAGGTAGGGGGCCATCGCAGGCTGCTTCGCTGCAAGCTTGTTCTTGCTGAAACCAGACTGTAAGCCCACACAAGCTGCCAGAGTCCCCTCCCGGGCTGGCGCTCTTGCAGATGATAGATTATCATCTAGCCACAGGTGTTACAGTCACCCCGCTATGATAGGCCGCGTGAGCAGACCTTGGGCAGGGGGCACACGTGATCAAGGGGCATCAAGAGAGGGGGTGGACCATGGAGCACCCTCTCCATGGCTCCGACCACCCTCCCCCCAGCTGAGCGTCCCAGGGTCACCCCACCCTGGCCCCGCTCCCCGTCCTGCCGGACACGCAACCCCCACAACGTGGTGGGGGACGTGGGGATCCTTAGCAGCTTAGGCCTGCCAGGCCGACGGGTGCCGATGCTGGTGCGGGCTCCCGGCGGCAGGCAGCGCCGCCGCCGGGCACTCAAATGGCATGGGGCACATGGGCCCCCATGCCCGCACATCTCCCAGGCACATGAAAATACCAGAAGGCTGCACATGTAAGGGTGCATGCATTGCAGGCAGGAGTGCAAAGTGGCCTGCCGCGGCGGTCGGCTGTGCCATTACTCAATCAGCCGCCGCTACTGTGCCGGGCTTGGCGTTCCCATGCCAACATGCCGGCGTACCATCGCGCAAGGGCCAGTGAGTGTGTGAGGTGGTGGTGGGGGTGGTGGGGGTGCCGCTGACCGCTGCTTGCTGACGCTGACGCTGCTCTTACCTGCAGGGGGAGGGGGTGGGTCGGGAGCCAAGGCCGGGGAAAAGATGCCTGGGCCCTACTCAAGGGAACCGGGGGAGTCACTGTGCCAGGGCAGCAGCATGCTCCTCATGGCACCGGTCGGCAAACCGGGCCAGCCGGCCCTGCCTGGCCGAGGAAGGCGGCCAGGGAGGGCAAGGCGTGGCCGGGACTGTGGAAGAGCTCAGCATACTCCTCCCTCAGCCCAGCGTATAGGGGGCAGTCATACACTGCGTGGCGTACGTCCTCTAGAGGGGCCTGGCAGTGGGGGCATGGGCGCTGGGTGCGGTCCAGCCGCTGCCACCGGCCTGTCTCCTCAGCCATCCAGTGCGACCCCGTGCGCCACTGCGCCAGGCGCACCCGGCGCCGGCGCTCGGGCACATCGCACAGGAACGACGCAGGCGTGTAGGCCTCCGCAGAGATGCTGCCCCCCCACACGTCCTCATTGTACCGCTGCACCTTCACGGATGCATGCGTGTACGAGGCAACATGGCGCTCCAGGAGCGCTTCCGCCAATTCAGGTATGGCAACCCCCTCGTCAGCAGTCAAGTCGCAGGGGGCGCCGGCCGCCGCGAGAACGCGGCTAACCTGCGCTGCCCAGGGCTGCCGGGCCAGTGGCAGCCCTGTGTCCGTGTCGGCAGCCAGCGCAACGCTATCCAGCATGGCAAGACGGGCGACCCGCTCGCCGCCCATAGCCTGCAGGTTGCTCACAAAGCGTGCAACCTGCAAGGTCAAGTAGGCGGGCAGCGGCAGCTGCCCCGTCTCTGCCAGCACAGTGAGGGCTGGGGTGCTGTCCCGCACACCCAGCAGCCCTCGCAGGTACTCCAGCTGTACCCGCTCGCATGCCGTCCTGCCCTGCAGAATCAGCTGCGGCGCCCAGATCTCTGCCCCGTACGACAACGTCGGCAGGACGTAAGACTTGAACGCACGCATGCTGAGCAGGGGGTCCTGCAACCCATTCTCGGCCAGGCGGCGACGCAGCAGGTGCATCGCGCGCCGCCCAGCCTCCGCCCGATACGATGCCGCCGAGGCAAAGGCCTGCCGGCAGTGCAGGTGCACGCCGAGGTATCTGAAGGTGGGGACGGTTTCCACCTCATTGCCGCCGTAGCGGAACCGCT